AAAAAATCATCATTATTTGTCAGTGGCAGGATACTCTATATAGAAGACCCTAAAAACTCTACCAAAAGATTTCTAGATTTAATAACCAAATTCAGTAACATAGCTGGATATGAAGTCAACACTCAAAAATAAATAGCATTACTATCCACAAATAACAAACTTACTGAGAGAGAAACTAGTGGAGCAACATCTTTCACAATTACATCCAAAAATAATGAAATATCTAGGTATAAATCTAACAAAGAAAAAACATTTACATTAAAAATTCAGTACTCTGAAAGAAGAGATCATAGAAGATATAAAAAAATTAGATATCACTTGTTCTTGGTTAGGAAGAACAAATATAGTGAAAATAGCCATACTTCCAAAAACTTGTTATACAAATTTAATGCAATCTTGATTGACATGCCAATAGCATATATTCACAGTATTTGAAAAAATAGTCCTAAATTTCATTTCAAATTTAAAGGGACTTATAATACCAAAAGCAATTCTGGACCAAAAACTCAAGGCAAAGCGTATCACAATCAGCAACTTGAAATTATACTATAAAGCTACTGTTAGAAAAACAGCATGGAACTACCAAAAAAAAAAATAAAGGATCAATGAAACAGATTAAAAGATACATAACAGCTCCAAACATATTCAACTATTTCATATTCCACAAAGCAACCAAACCCTGGAAGATAGCTTCTTTAATAAATGGTGCTAGGAGGCTGGAGAGGTAGCTCAATGGAATAAATGCTTGCCTGGCAAGGGTAAGGTCCTGAGTTCTATCCCTGGTACCACCAAAAAAAAAAACATAAATAAATAAAAATAAATGGTGCTGGGAAAATTGGCTTTCTATGTATCAAAGATTAAAATTAGATCCATATCTTTCACTATCCACTAAACTACAGGATCAATGAACTAAATTTTAAATCAGAAATCTAAGCTTGCTGAAAGATAGAATATGTTGAACCCTTGAAGGCTTTGGTTTAGGCAAAGACTTTGTGAACAAAATCCCCAATTGCACAGCAAATATCACAAAAAATCCATAACTGAGATCTCTCATCTTATTAAAAATCTTTTTCACAGCAAAAGAAACATCCAACAGAGTAAAGGTTGAGTATGCAAAATATATAGAGATCTCCAAAAAGATACCCTAAATTTAAAAAACCCAATCAAAAAATAGGCATCTAAAATCAATAGACACTTCTTATATGAAGTGGAAATGAAAAGTAGAAATTTTTTTTAAAAGTTAAATATCAAGGATCATTTGAGAGATCCAAATTTATATAACCCTGACATTCCATCTCACTCCAGGAAAAAATAGCTATTATCAAGAAATCAGCCAATAACAAATGTTGGTAGAGCAATGGGATAAAAGGAACCCTTCTTCACTATTGGTAGAAATGTTCAACCAATATGGAAATTTGTATGGAGATTCCTCAAAAAAAACTAAGACTGGGGTTCCATTTGAGCCAGCTGCTCATCTGCTTTGTATATTCCCTAAACCATCAACAGTATCATACAACAGCAACGTTTGGATATCCATGTTTATAGTATCACAGCATGTAATAGCTAAATCTTGGAAACAGCCCAAATGCCCACCAACTAATGCATGATTAAAGAAGATGTGGTATTTTTATACAATGGAGTATTACTATGCTATAAAGAAGGATAACCTTGAGACATTTTTAGCTAAATGGATGCATATTGAGGCCATACTCTTAATTGAAATAAATTGCATGCACATATTTAAGTATCACATTGTTTCTCTTGTGTGAGAAACCATAAATATAAATAAGGACTGAAGTACATGGTAGATATTGTGAAATGGGAAGGAATTTTCAAATTTGAATGAGAACAAGGGAGACAAAAAGGGAAGGTAGAAAGGGACAAGAGAAAAGAGAATGTAGAAGGAAAAACACAGAACCAAAGCTTTTGTAAATAAGGAGGGTTAGAGGGGCTTATGGGAACAGAAAGGAGAGGAGAAAAAGAAGACATATACACAGATACAAATTCTGAATGATTAATGTGATCATTTTGCCTACTTAAAATATACCAATAAAATTTGAAAAGAAAAAATAGAGTAAAAAATAAAATAATTATATGAAATGGACACAGTCTGGAACAACATCATAGATATCATATATAAATCATGTATGATGAATAATGAAACTAATTCATTTGCTTTGACCAGTGCCAGGTATTTTGTATTGCAGAATCATTTTAGAGGAGATCTGGGGGTCAAACTCAGAAAACAGTTATCTGAGCCATCATTTTGACCATTATACTCCACTACGTGAAACCTCCTTTAATCCTGTCTTTAAAAAGCTTTAGTTAATCAATTTGTCACATGTGTGTCTTTTCTTCTCTGTTAGACTGTACACTACTCAAGGGCAGTTTCTGTCTTAGCAGTCTCAGCAGCCCGCAGTGTGCCTATAGTGGCTGGAGTAGGATCTCCTTAAATCATGTTGATATGTGATTGAACAGTGGCAGCCTGCTGTGACGGAGCTGAAAGGAACATGCTGACTTGGCCAGGTCTTTAGTGTATATTGAGTTATTTTGTTCTCTCAATAGGAAATGAGGGGGGCTAGGGAGATGGCTCAGTGAAATAAGCGCATTTCTGGCAAGCACAAGGGCCTGAGTTCAATCCCTGATTCCACACACAAAAAAAAAAAAAAAAAAAAAAAAAAAAAGAGGAAATCAAGTATTGAGAAGCAGAATAAGATTACCTGAATTGATATGTTTATTATGCAGCAATGCTGGGATTTGAACCAAAGGCCCTTTCTCTATGCAAGCTTGCTTCCAGTGTTTACAAAAATCTATTCATGTAAAACAGCTTTCATGATAATAATGATAATGACATAACTCTACTGTGCTCTATTATCAAACAAGCAGTTTCAGTGGCCTCTGCATCTTGCAGCAAAGTTCCTGTGTCTTACCTCCTGACAATCAGCTTGAGGGTTCGGAAGGAGCCTTTGATGAGGATGAGGGCCTCTTGGCGGGAGCCATACAATGGAGTGCCATTGATATTCACCAGCTCATCACCAGTCCTCATCTTCTGGGACAAAGCTGCCTTGCCTCCATCTTCAATCTGTATTTTGGAGAACAAAATAGAAAGCAGGTGGTGAAGGGACTTCCCCACAGATCTACTTCCTGGCTCCTCCCAACCTTGGAGCCATGTGTAGGACTAGGGCATGGCTCCAGGTAGCTTCTAGGAGTGGCTGAGGAGTTGATCCCACGCCATTGTTTACTGAAGGCAAAGTTTGGGCAAGCCCTCAAGGAAAGAGGCAAAATAGAAAGAATGTAATTCCTGCCTGGAGGAATGAACATTCTATTCTCGGAGTCAAGCACTTTCACAAACAGAAAATGACTCTTAGAAGGCACTCCCACAGAATGGCTAAAAAATGTGCACAAAAATTAGAGCCAGAAGATGTAGGCTCCAGCAAAAGCTAGCAAATCCTTTCCTCTGGGCAGACTTTGAAGTCTGATTTAAACTTTATTTGAATTCATGTTCTGTTACTTTCTAGCTATGTGATCCTGAGCAAGTTATCTTTATGCTTTGATTAACTTGCTTGGGAGTATAGATAGCAAGAATATCTACCTGCCATACATTGTTGTTAGTATATGACTTATCAGAATGGTAATCCCTTTATAACTATAAGCTCTGTTTATTCATAACAAGGTACTAGAGCCAGAAGACCTTGAATTTGACTGCTAGCTCATTCTGTGAGTGGAATTTCAAATTTCAAGAGATCTGAAATTGGTACTCATGTATCTATATTTTTTTCAACAAGTGCCTAGAACAGTGATGGCAAATCTATGATGTGCCTGGTCACAGAGGACTGTTTGCAACATTGAAAGCTTTAAAAGAATCACTATCATTGGCCTAGAACCATGCTTCCAGTGTTTAACCCACACTGTGCATTCAGCAAAATCTGGGAATATTTTCTACCACAGCCTACAAATTTCCTTTGGCTCCCATAATCCAGGCAAGAAGGTTGTTAGGCTGGGAAACACTGCGAGCAAAGGCAAAATTAAAAGCCACTGAGGCAGCAAAACCAAAATAAAGCATAAAGTCCCCAAATGCCATTGCTTATGGTTAATTTTACATATAACATTCCCTTTACCACAAAACTGAGTAATTTGATTGACCTATGAGAATATCAATTATAGCCCAGGCTATGCGAGTCATCTCATCCATCTATCCACTGACTCCTTCCTCAACTATTTGCTGAATTTTCATCATGCACAGAGAACATACTAAGTTTTAGAGGCATAAAAATATACAAAGATCATAGGGGAGTTATGTCTGTTGAGGTGGTCAAGTAAGAAAAGGTCCATCTCAATCAGGCATTGTTCAGTGGGAATGGTGAGAGAAAGTAAAGATGATTAAATCCCGCTGTTGTTAGGGGGAAGTTAAAAGGGGCAACTCAGGGCTAGTCTTTGCTGAAGACCTGTATATGGTTACTACTACTCTTGTTCTAGTCTTTCATATTTTTTTAAACATTTGCTTGTTTTGTTTTAGGTATGGTATGGAGATACCACAGCTACATCCCCAGCACTATTATTATTATTATTTTGTATTTTAGGGAAGGGTCTACAAGGTGTTTAGGGTCTCACTACTAGATCAGACTCATAGTGATCCACCTGTATACAGCCTCCCAAATACTCGGATTACAGGCGTACACCACCAGGACCAGTCTCCATCTCTGCCTCAGTGCACCCTGGGGGCGGGGCTGGCACAGCAGCCCCAGGGATTGAACCCTGCTAGCAGGCACTTTAATCCATTGAGCTATTTGGCTGGCCCTTCCCAGCACTTTTTAGAATATTTTTTTTTTAATTTGAGACAGATTTATCCATGAGAGCCCTATGATCCTCCTACCTCCACTTCCTGGAGTAGCTGGTTTTACAGATGTGTGCTGCCATGTCTGGTCCTCTTCATCTTTTATAGCATCCCACAGTCTATCCCCACACTGTGAAAATTAGAATACTGCTGAGTTTTAGACTGGATAGCTTAGGTGCAATTTGGCAGATAAGACTCCCTGAGCGCAGAGGAAAATGTTAGTTCAGGAATTTTTAAACCACCAGGATTTAAAAAAAAAATCACATAAACAACTTTTGAGCTAAATCACAAATTTATTAAATGTACTGCTACATTCAACATATAGTGTATATTTATATCTTCATTCTGCTACTTGGGCTGCCATTCAAGACAAAATAAATCAATGCTGGTAAATGAGGAACAAATCTCAGCAAATTAATTAGGATAACATTTCTAATTCCATTGTCATTATAATTATTATTTCTCAGATTTCACTGCTCCTTAAAAATAAGAGAAAAAAATGAAAGAAAAACAAAGTGCTGTACTTGAATTTCAGAAGTTCTATTTGAATGACTCATTCTTTTGGCATTCACGGAAGGCCCTCAGCATTAGGCAGAACTTTCAACATGAATCAGCCATTTGAAAAGGCTTCCTAAGGCTAACAAAGGACCACAAACAGTCATCTAACTAATGAATGCAAATACATTTTCCCTATTGATATACATTAGTCTCAATTTAGTGTACTTGGACTTTTATTCATACAACTCAATTCTCCATATTACTTGTTTCCACAACAAGTTTTCCCTTCAATATGTATTAATATTAAGTGCCACATCTGGCTAATTAAGCACTGAGTTACATCACCAACACCTCTGTTTTGTACATTTTATGCCAGAATAGGAAAGAGGGAAACCTTTTAAACTAAACTTCTTAATTATCACTGCAGCAAAACTCAAGCCTTTTATTTTCCCTATTGTAATTTGTCTGCCACTGAGTCCTCTCAAGAGACACTTTTCTTGAACTACAGCTTCAGGTTGACAGTGCTCCCTTTTCTGTCCCATGGTCCTTCTCAGTTGATAACAACATCATCCACAGGATGGGTACACTGAGTGCAATAATGCCACTTTAGTACATACGTGAGACTTCAGATGGGAAGCCAGAAAATTTTGAGAAATCAAAATATTCCAAGAACCTAAACAGATCAGATGAGAAAATGAAACTGTTTAAAGACACCCAGACTATGCCCCATACTAGCTCTTTTCCATATGTAATCCATTTATTGATCTGTACAATTGATTCCTTACTCTTCCAGACATTTTGGCCCTATTTTATGATTGCTTTCTAGTCTGTCTCTTCCATCCTCTACTTCTTGAACCTTGAGATCTGCCATGTCTTGCATTTATTGTTTGCCTTTCAGACAGTTCTCCCTCCAAGATCAATCACTCAGCCACAGTTTTATTTATATACAAGACAAAGCATATATGTTCATGTTCCTAGCAAAGAAAGAAAGAAATAAGGAAAGAAAGACAAGAAAGTAAAGCAAAGGAAAAGAAGAAAATACTGGAATGAAGGGAAAAGAACACCTGCATATATCTCTTCTCCTATAAAACATTTCTTTTTTTCCTTTTCCACTGCCATCCTTGTAACCTGGCTGAGGCCCAGCAATAATATGAACAAAAAAACTTGCTAAAATTAACAAGCCCTGCTGTGCAACATCATAATACACTGTCTATTCAGTAAGGTTTACCAATTCTTCCTGAATCAAATGTTTAGGGTAGATATGTTGTTTCATTTAAAGTATTTTCAGATTAGACCCAGACACATTGGACTGTCTATGTAAACACATATAACAAAACCCAATATAAATGACAGTCAACTTAATATGTTATTTTGGGTTATCCAAGTACTCACCATGCTAACAGTGAGTGGCCCAAGTAACTGAAAATTGCAAAGTGGTCATACAATTAAAAGCCATCTGTTTTCTGGAAGTCTGGGAGATGTTGATTGACCATGGACAAGTTCCTTTCCACTCCTGCAGTCTCTCTTAATTACCCTTACTGATGAAATGTGGGGCCCTGCATAGATGATTTCCTTGGAATCTGACAGCTCTGGGCTTTTGCAGTACTGACATTCAGTGACCTGTGAACAGTTACTAAAGTCATGTGTTATCCTTCTGCTGACAAAGATAATCCCAGATTTCCCATCTATTTTACTTTGTCTTCACCAGTGTTTCATGAATTTAAAACTAATTAATATCCACTTCTCAATTCCTTAGTTTTTTAGAGTGGTTCTTCTAGAATGAAATGTTCAATAAGGCACAGTTAGGACAACGAGAGAAAAAGATTCCTGGAGTCTCAACCAGTGTTAATGAGTTAGTGATTTGGAAATGTTTGATGGCTTTTCAATGAAGCACAAAGCGTTCTGATAGCTGTCAACAGGATGACAAGTTGGACCCTTGAGAGAATAGGGAAAGAAAAATGGGCATAGAAGCACTTAACTAGCTTTTTAGTAGCTTTTATTTAGTCAGATACATGGAGACGCTTGTGTCTTTTGAATAAATTTAGGAAATATAGAAATGGGAAGGAAAGAAATATTACATTGATGTTTTAAAAATCCATTTAGTAGGAGAAATACTAGCTGCAACAATAACCAACAATACTGAATGCCTATTATAGGAGCATAAGAACAGCACTACAAAATAATGAAATGACTGTGAATATCTCTGTTTTCTGTAATAAATTTATTACAGAATGTAGGCATCAGCTGAAGCTTTCTTATCAGTTCTCAGAGCTTCAAGCCAAATTACCAGACCATACTCTTACCTCTACCAGCTTATTTGTAGTATAACAAAGCAAGTAAATAATTGTTCATTGATTTTTCTTTGGAAATAGGAAGTCTTCATAGATACAGATTTATCCTCTGGATGTCTTTTTAACATATTCGAAAGATTTTAAGATTTTCATAAGGTTTAATTATATAAAGACCTGTTCATCAAACTGGCATTTTCTGGGAAATCAATAGAAAGAAAATGTAGAGATGGGAATAAACTGGCATTAGAAATTTTAAACATTAGGAGGCAGGATCTTCAAAGATTATATACACTAGGAAGAATGTATGCAATGTGTTAATTATTTAAACTGTCTCATAACTATTTGTTTCTCAATAAAATTATGGAAAAAATTTAAAAAATGATAAGCCAATAAATAAATAAATAAATAAATAAATAACATCCAGACGTTGAATGGCTCTAAGAGAGTAGGAGCCATTAT